ACTATGGCAAAAGACATATCCAAAACCCCCCAAAAAATGAAATAATAAAACAAAATCTTAGAAACCCCTCAAAAAAGAAGAAAAAAACTAGATCTTAACCATCAAAACTGGGTAACCGGAGATAATATCCTTACACCGGACAATCCAATATCAAATCCACTTTGGCATCAAAGTTATTCAAAGTTGTGGTTGTGGTGACTTCTTTAGCTTTAGACTTATCAACAGGCTCATAGCCAAGTGTCAGCTCTAGCTCGACCTTCACCTCCAACTTCGCCCCTTCAGTTTCAGCCTGCTTGCTCGACATTAACGGAGTCTCTACGGAAACCAAGCTTTCCTCCACCATCTCAAGGCTGTCATCCTCCACAACATGCACCGCCTCCGACTGATGACTCAGGGCTGACCCGTGGCTTGAAAACTCATTGTTATCACTAAGGCATTTTTATCAAACACTTTATATGCATTCATCATACATTTATTAACCAACACAATTTTTTCACTAATTCAAGTAATAGACAATGTAGAGAGAATTTGTGAATTAGCAAATAACGTGAGTGTGTACAACAATCACATGATAAATGATAAATGAGTTATTGACCATGGTCTTATCAGAGACCAAGAAAAACAGGATGTCATATCGATAAAAGTTTAAAAGAAGAAACCTTACATAAAGTCATTTATGGAAACATGATGATAACCTTTTGATGAACAACAACCATTTGAGGATAGCCATCTAAGATTGCCAGGTAAACGAAGGAACGTAGAAGACAAAAGTAGAGATGTGAAATTTTAAAAGGAAGGTAGTGTATATGGAGGAAGGGGCGAAAATTATTGATGATTTCAAGGGATCCAGATATCTCAAGAAGAATACAAAACGTATTGAAAAGAAAAGAATTTCAATTTCAATGGGAAAATAAAAAATGGGTTAACTTGAAGATGCCATGTGTCAAGTATAAAGTGTAGAAAGATGCCACGTGGCAAATTGAAGTTTTATTTATTAGAAGAGGTGTATATATATATATATATATATATATATATATATATATATATATATATATATATATATATAGATGCCATCTATGAATAAACCATTGTCTTTCGAAAACACAGTGTTTTATGCTTTTATGGGAGCTATTTCTCCGTCTGTTACAATAACACGTGGTGCCAAACATTTGTCCATAATCGATGGTAGACAATCTAATGTCCAAGTATAGTTACATTTCTTTTCCTTATGCATATAGACAAATGCTTTTGCAAATGTCATCTTTGTTGGAGTTACACCAACAATCTCTAGAAGAGACATATCATATATGCTTGTTTTATAAGTTGCATCCATCATCACCACGTGTGGAAATTCATGACATAATTTAACTGAAAGTGGGTGGGTAAAGAACAAATCTTCCAACTTGTTCGTTAATATAGTTGCGCGAGTCTCATAAATATAGCCATTATCTTTCATCCATGACATCAAAACTTGCATTTTAGTCTTAACTGCACTCTCTGTCCTCCGAATTTTTTGGTGTGCATTATATATAGTTTGAAGAGTAGTTACATTAGTTGCATTTTTCTTCTTTAATGTGGATAATATATCTTTTTGTTTCACATTTTTTTGTAACAAATCTTGAACTTATTGAGCTTTATTTTTCCTTAGTCGTCTTGCGAACTTATGACCTTCAAAATGTAATGATGATTCATGATTATATGCTTCACATTTCATCTTTAACATCGAACATTAATTTACATAAGAATACTTTCCTTCTAATGAGAATGAATAATTTATTTTTCTGATGCCAATGTGTTTTGTGGAGAATTTCATATTTGTATATATTCCACCACCATCACATTTAAATAAAACATTAAAATCACATTCAGAATTTTTTATGTTGATAACATAACCAAAAAATGCCCTGTTTATTGCACCCAATCTATTAAGGTGATGTTTATTTTTTATCTGTAGATCTTCTTGGTCTCTTCTGTCTATGTCGCGCAGACCACGCACATACATTAGCATCCGTATATTGTTTTTTTGAAGACTACATACCTAAAAATGTATGTCTGTCCTCTTCTTGGTGTAAAAATAGATCAGAGTCTTCTAACCTTTTCAGACATGTTTTAGTTTAAAAAACACATATATCTTTGTTTTTATAGCTTTTTTAAACTTACATTTATTTGAACTTTATTAATGATAAACAAGTTGGAAAAAAAAGTTACAATACTTTAGGAAAAAAGGTTCAACAACACAAGCATGATATTTTTGCAAATTTATGAATAAATATTTATTACAATAATGGTCATTGAAACTATTTATATAAATATGAAAAAAATCACATATTGTTGTATATTTTTTTGCGAAATTTTATAAAATATTATTTAATACAACATCATCAATTTCTTTAGAAAAAATATTTGTGGTACGTTTTTAATTGATTCAATTGAAAAAGTAAAATGAAAATTTTGAAAATTTTCATTTTAAAATCGAAGTTTGTTTTCATCCATTTTATATATTAAATTCTTTGATCTCTAATTAAAATGTTTAGGTATAACTTTGAGATTAAAGTTGTTGGTTTTTCTCAAATATATACGTTAATTCGTACATTATATTTTTACTTTTTAAACAATAATACATAAAAGTTGATCTAGATTTGTTAATTCTCTATAATAAAGTCATAAATATATTAAAAAACACTTTGAAAATAAAAAAAAGTTTGTTCATATTTTAGTTTATTTTAGTAGCGTGCACTGCAGATGTTTGGTTTACTTCTTATACTACAAAGGTATACAAATATGGTCCGCAGACTCCAAACATTTTACTATAGAAAAAACAAACAATACCTACGTTTTTATGAGAACTGAACACCTGAAAATAATATAATAATCAATAACTAGCAATCTTCTGGATGACAACCTTTATATTAACGAACTTAAATTTTATACCATGTTGGTTTGAAAACTTGAGTCACTGATGAAGTAATTACTTTCTTTCTCGTTTTCATTTCCATCGCCTTTATATACATTTATATCAACATTATTTGTTTACACAAAACACACGTTACAAGTTACAACTTATAAAAGCTATTTTAAAAATAAAAATGTTTATATAAAATAACTCATAATTCGTTTGTTCATTGAATTGAAATTACTCTTCACAACCTTCATATGTGTTTGTATGAACATTATTCGTCTACACGAAACACGCACTACAAGTTACAACTTATAAAAATATAAAATAAAAAATGAAAACATATATATAAAAGTATCTTATAGTTTGTTTGATCGTTGATTTGAAAATACTCTTCACAATCTTCATATATGTTTGTATGAAAATTATTCGTCTACATGAAACACACGCTACATGTTACAACTTAAATCGACCCGTATAATACATTAGGTGTAATACCCATACACTACATGAGTTAATTAAAAAAAAATAAATATAAATATCTAAATATTTAAAACTTTTGAATTATAAAAAAATAAGAAAAATAATGAACTTATTAAAATTAATTTTTTTTATCCTTTAAATTTAAATAAATAAACAAAATAAACTAATGAGCTTTAATTTGGAAATTTTGAAATAAGAAGTTAAGTCCATTAATGCAATTGATATTAATTTATTACTATATATATATATTATAATTATTACATTAAAATATTATGTTGAATTTATTAAAATAGAAAATCTATAAAATGACATGTGGAAAATATATTAATTCAAAATAATCACAAAATAGCATTTGACAAATTAAATTAGAGTGTGACATTTGGCAAAAAAAACATTCATTTATAAAAGTAGATAAGTTCTAATAAATACAAAGAGTCACTCACATATAATTAAGGGGTTGCCTAAAAAGATACCCTAATTTGCCATACAGACACCCTAATTAATTTTTAAAATATTTTTATTGGTTGAAATTATATTATTTTCCGAAAAAACTGATAGATGCTACTTAATTTACCATTTCCATGACTCCCATTTTATGGGTACTGTTTCCACGAAAAATTTGTAAAATAATCTTTGGAAATGATGCAATTCGTTCACATCCATTAAATTAGGGTGGTGCTAATAAGACACCCGTTAGACACTCTATCATTACTTTTATAAAAAGTCAACATATAATCAACTACTTGTAATCAGTTTTTTCGGAAAACAATTAAATTTCAACCAATAAAAATATTTCAAAAATTAATTAGGATTATCTAAATGGTAAAATGAAGTGTTTTTTTAGCCAACCCCATCAAATTATTATCTTACCAAAGTAGATATTTTCTTTAAATATTAACAATTTGCATCTATAACCCTTTGTCTAAAGTTTACTTTCCGTTTATATTTTTTTTAGTTTTAAAACATTACTTTTAGTTTTTATATATATATATATATATATATATATATATATAATTAAAGAATATATGGTTGTAATGTACTTAAGTTTACCTCCAAACAATATAGTTTTGATCTATTTATATGTAAACTAAATATGATATCTCTTTTACTATTCTTCTTTAATAATTTAATAATTTAACTTGGTAAATCAATCAAATGTGATATGTTTTTCTTTTATTTTTAGTTATAAAAACATTATTATATTAAAGAAAAATAATCATGAAATGATTTGAAAGAAACGAAACATGGTTCATGTATATAAGTTCGTACGTTTAGAATTACCCGAATTTATTTGTTCAGATAGCACCATATTTATTTGTTCAGATAGCACCATCTGTCTTTTCCCACATCGGTACAAAATGATTTAACAAAATTCATTAAAAAAAAAAAGGGATTATGAAGGAATAATACCATAATTCTCATGCTCACTTTTCTAGTTATCCTTCAAATATTTTAAGAAATAAATCATGTCATTATTTAACATGTCACATTAATTTTCAATCATTGATCAGATACTCGCAAAATCCTCATGAACTTTCATTTACCCCAATTATTTCAAATTAAAACTCGATACTTGATTATCCATATTTAGAAATTATTGTTATGAACAGAAAAGAATATGCCCCAAAAGCCATTAAACTTGATCATCCATATTTAACCAAACATGGCCTATACACCCTTTTTGGTCCCATTTCATTCACATTTGTACACAACTTTCCTGACTATGGCAAAAAGACATATCCAAAACCCCCCCAAAAAAAGATGAAAATAATAAAACAAAATCTTAGAAACCCCTCAAAAAAGAAGAAAAAAAAACTAGATCTTAACCATCAAAACTGAGTAACCGGAGATAATCTCCTTACACCGGACAATCCAGTCTCAAATCCACTCCGGCATCGGAGTTATTCAAAGCGGTGGCTGTCGTGACTTCTTTAGCTTTAGACTTATCCACCGGCTCGTAGCCAAGCGTCAGCTCTAGCTCGACCTTCACGTCCAACTCCGCCGCTCCAGTTTCAGCCTGCTTGTTCGACATTAATGGAGTCTCCGCGGAAGCTAAGCTTTCCTCCACCATCTCAAGGTTGTCATCCTCCACAACATGCGCCGCCCCCGACTGATGACTCAGGGCTGACCCGTGGCTTGAAAACTCATTGTTATGCTCGTTTTGAGCAGATACCTCCTGATCACTAGACCCGATCCAGACGCGACTTGCCTTCCCTTTCGCCGTCGACCGCTTGAATCGGCATCGAGTCCTTACTCGGTGAAGCTCGCTTGATCCGGCGCCGGAGTTCTCATCCTTGGATATATGACGGATGTCATATGCCTTAAACGGTGGCCCTTTGTTTGTCTCCGCCGTGTCCGATGCGATTTGCGTAATCGGTGAACCTTGAAGAACAGCCTCCACCGCAGTCTGACAAAGCTGCCAATTTCCCGACCACAACAACCCAACAGACCCGTAAATCGGATTCACAATCCGACCACAAGCTTCGTACAGAAGTGACCTGAATATCGCTGCAATCACAAAACCCACCGGAAAACAATCAAAACACGTCTTCTTTATTTATTTATTTATTTATTTCGGATACAAAAAGGAAAGAAAACTCACCGGGACGGAGGTGTTCAGGACCGGCGTTGATGAGATTCATAAGTCCGGCACGGCCATAGAACTTCGCGAGGAAGACAGTAGCATTCGCTTGAGATTCCGGCGACTTGATCCACTGCAAACAAGGCCTAATGCTGCAGTTGTCACTGCAACCCTTTCGAAGAACACGGCATCCATTGCAGCTCATACGCATTTTTGGTGTGATTTTTGAGAGAGAAATATGGTGGTTTAATTTAGAGAGAGAGAGGAAACTGGTGTAGGGATATATAGTGGGTTTGGCGGTGGTATCATGGGATACGTGGCGGAAAACAGCCGCTGAATTTTGGGAGAGCGCAGCTGTTTCCGAAAGGCTGGTATTGTGGCGTGGAAAACCAGGTTTTTTCCATATTCATGGAAGTACAAAGGTAGGTCGGTGTTGATGCTTCTTGAATTTAGAAAACATACGTCACACTAATGAGTCCACTATTTTTCTTAACTATTATAAATTGTAAATACCACTTTCAGATGCGGCGCGTGGAGATTACTGTTTCCTTTTCAAAGCATAATCTTTAGCATGATGGCAAAGTACATAAAGCTTCGCCTTTACGATTGCTTGTCCAAATTTGAGATCCTTCTTCAAACACATTTAGTTTAAAAGCTTCTTTGTTTTTAAACATGTGAATATCTGATATATGATGAGAATATGTGAGTTAGTGATGGTTTATGTTTGTGGATTGAGAGTCTGGACAATGATCATAATGGATCATTTGGTAAATAGTGATAGTTTAGTATTTCCAATTGTAAGAAAATTTGAGTTAGATTTGCTACCATTTTATTTTGCGAGCTTCCGAATTTATTATGCTGAGCCTCCGAATTTTTCGGAGGCTTATCTCGGCCTTCTTATTGGATCCTATTGTCAACAAGTTCAAAGCGAAATTATCTGGTTGGAAGACGGATATTCTTTCCTTTGGAGGAAAACTAACTCTTGTGGTAGCCTACCTCTTTACTATTTTTTCTTGTTCAAGGCTCCTAAAAAGATTATTGTTTTGTTTGTGAGTATTCGAAGAAGATTTATTTGCCGAGTGAAAGACAGCAAAAAAAACTTCACTGGATCGCTTGAGATTCTATGATAAACCCCAAGCACAAAGGCGGCCTTAATATTGGGAGTCTTCGAACTTTTAATATTGTGCTTTTAACTAAATGGCGACGGCGTTTAAACATTGAGCCGAACAACTTATCGTTTTCTTGTACCATTGCTCTGCATCAGATCTCGTGTATTGATGGTAAATTGGTAACTAAGTGCACTCTTTCGGGCATTTGGCTATCTATCTCAAGCATTAATAATGATATTTTGGATTGGAATATCTCTCTTGAAAAATTAGTTGATAGAAAAGTCGGAACATGCGATAATACATTTTCCTGGAAACACAAATGACATAATAATGTTGCTATTAAGGAGACCTCCCTAGAGCTTTACAAAATTAAATCTCAAAAAATTGTTTAGCCAAAGATCGAATTTCAAATGACGTGAAAGAAGGTCGGTGGTTGTGGAGGCGCCATCCAAGAATAGGTATCAAATCTAGGAGCTTGGATATCATTAGCAAGATTGTTGTTGATGTAAGTCTCTCGCGAGTTCCTAACTCGTGGGGATGACTAGCTGATTCCAATAATCATTTTTCTATAAACTCTCTAAGTGGTCTCATGGAATGTTCTATAGCTGCGAATAATGCTACGACTTTTTTTTGGGTGAATTGGATTCCAATTAAAGCTAACTACTTTGTGCCAACACTTCTACAAAATAGAGTTCATGTTGCTATTAACCTAGTTATTTGTGGGGTTAGTCTATCTTCATCTTCATACTCCTTCTATCTTGCTTCTGATGAAGACATCAACTATCTCTTCTTTAGTTGTCATTTCTCAGCTACCATTTAAAGTTGGCTTTCTTTGTGGATGTACCTGCTTCCATCCCTTCCTTTATGCTTATTTGATCTGATGTCATCTTTAACTTCTCTTGAATTGGAGAAAAGTAATAAAAAAATTGATATATGGTCTAGTCTACTCAATGTTTTGGTCGATTTGGAAAGTAAAGAACTCTCTTACTTTCAAAAAGAAAAGGTGATCTCTAATGAAACAACAAATGGTATATAACTCTTATCGTACAATTGATTCATACATATAGCTAGATCTAAGGGTCTTGTGTAACTTCTCAAAAATAAGACCCAAAACTTCATCATATAAATCCAAATAGATAATTGTATCAATCACCATTTCTTATCAGAGTAAATCAAGAAAATGCGGAACGAGGTGGTGTGTGCTCTACAATCATCCCGAGCTCTTCCATTTGAAAATCGAAGTACTTAAAACATAAACTGAAAACCCTAAGCACAAAGCTTAGTGAGTTCCCCTAGATACCACATACCAAACATAATAAATCACAGACTGGGCCCCCGCCCTTCATCGGGCCTTGCTCGATATCGAGTCCCACTCGACTTCAGGCCCCGCCCGACATTGAGCCCTGCTCAGTTTACAGATCTATCAATCACCAGGCCTAGCCTGACATTGAGCCTCTCCCGATAAATATAATCATACTAACATATGCAATAATCACAAAGACAATAGTATACCATACAATCATCGAGCCCCACCTGACATTGGGCCTTGCCCGATAACATAAAACACATACTGATAAATAGCATATAATATACTCATCAGGCCCGCCTGACATTGGGCCTTGCCCGGTAAACATGTCATCACATAAAATATGAAAGAGTCATGCATGCATCTAGCATCCTAACATATAAACCATGGACTGCCATTGGTGCCTTCGCTCGCTAAACTCCGTGAGGAGACTCACCTTGCACTGCCGAATCACCATGATAAATTCCTGGCTACTGGTTCGACAAATACTCGAGTTATCCATATCAAATAATCATTCAATTAATAATCGGATTTCAATCCATAACCATTAATCTAAAGCTAGGGTAAAAAGTCCATTTTACCCGTTACCTAGTATGGTCTAAGGCTAAGGCCAAACATGACCCAATTTTTTAAATTGGGCCCAAATCCCTTCCATGGCCTTAACCCAAGGCCCAATAATATTCCCAGCCCAAAACACCAGAATATAGATGGCCCAACCCGAAGAATAAAAGGTCTGAGGCCCACTCTGCTGAGTACGTTGGGCGTACTTAGTTCGTACGCGCAACGTACTTGCCTTAGGGCTTGTACGGTAAGCGTACCTGCTTATATGCCCAACGTACCCTTGTATATAGCCAACTTCCATGTAAAGCTCTTATTCCGTAAAGACTTTACACCACAACCTAGATCTGACTTCCTTGGGCTGCTTAATCACGTAAAGTTACTAACTTTACATTCATGCATGGATAAATGAAGCTCTTAAGCTTAATAAAGGACTTAATATGTGACTTATTGCATGCATGAGACCCAATACCTCATAAAGTTGGCACCTTTATGCTTAAGAACCTCTTAACAAGCTCTGATCTAAAAGATCAAGCCCCACAAACATCTTAACTCATCAAACCAACCAGAAAGGGACCAAAAGCATAAAAATCAATACATAAAGAGATCTAATCATTCAAAATCCAAGGTATGAACTTGATACCTCAAGAAGCTTGCAAAATGAGGGGTGATTCTGGATCTAAAGACTTCACACCAAGATATGCAACTTCACTTTTCTTCAATTCCTTCAAAATAAGCAAAAAGAGTTCCAACTTCCTCTCAAGAGTTCAAAAACACAACCATAAAGGCTAAGGGTTGAGATTTAGGGTTTAGGAGGTTTATAGGCTAGTAAAGAGGCCAGCCTTAGGGACTTAAGGTCTTTATATAGGGTGCCCTAAAATAAGGTTTCCATTAACTCTTTGTACGCCCCGCATAATCCTCATATGCCCAACGTACGAGGTCTTGCATCCACGATTAACCCCTTCTAGTACACTACACGTACACCGGTGTATGCCTCGCGTACCAACCCTTGCAATAGTACACCCTGCGTACTCCCTAGATACACCCCATGTACTAGGGTTACCCTTAAACCCTAAAATACTCCGAAGGCCATAACTTCCTCATTATAAATCCGATTTCGAGGATCCTTATATCCAGGAAAAGGTAACAAGAAGCTCTACGCTTTAATCAACTCATACTTGCCTTACAATTTCCTAAATAAAGATCCAATTTCCATAAAAGCCCGAGCTGACACATTACCAAAATACCCCTTGGCTCTAAAACACAAATCGAACACCCAGATCATCTAAATTACATCACCCACCTCCAAATAAGTCGAGATATCAATTCCTCAAATGTCCTAAGTTTTCTAATACCCAATCATTGATCACCACCCCAAAATGGAAAACGATTCGGAACAGGGCATTACAACTCTCCCCCACTTAAATTAGATTTTGTCCTTGAAGTCATTCCTTATCATCCTCGGCACGCCAGACAACCTGAGTAACACAACCACAACCCTAAGCATACCATAACCTTCCCATGGCAACTGAAACCAACATTAAGATGGCTCTCTAAACCGGAGAGGAATGGATCCTTTCTCAACCCAAAATAATTCCCTACAAAATAACCACATCTACTCAACCTATAATCTGTAATCTCAAATTGGTCTAACTCCTTGACAGACCACCCATACTAAACCATTGCTAATTCCATTCCACTTATCTCCCAACTGACTGCTCAACTTCTGATTACCTAAGGTTCCTACTGGAAATAGAACCATTTATCATACGCTGCTGCCGACAATCTTTCACTTGACCAAAGAGACAAATATTCCTTCAAGGGAAAGCTTATCCTAAAGATAACAATTCCATGGATATAATGAATAACACAAGATGATCTGGGAGATAACCCCTCTAGTGTTGAACAAGACATTGTTTCCTTTAACTGCCAAATCAACACACCGACACTAAAAATCTTGAAAGTCCATACTTTGCTGACCCATACATAGAAAGAACTAAACCAAAACACCACCAGAAGATCCTGATCTACCATCAAAACTAAGTCCATCCTTTAACCCTGAACCCCTTCAACTGATGCCCCTGACATACATATTCCTTAATTCGATTCTTACTTAAATAAAGATCCTGAACATAAACACTCGCGGTTCCCAACATGAGTTCCCACCCAAAAACCAACCTGGTGCTTAACTCATAATCCGATATCCAAAGCTCTACATTTTTATTTCACCGAAACCTTCCGATACACAGCAACCCCTCACTAAACCGAGAT